TAAAGTCGCTTTAGTTTACTTCTCAACTTCTGTTGTCAAGAAAAACACAACAAATGATTCATGTGATCACTCATTGAAACTTTGACTATCATTCGAATAATTCTTCCTAGTCATATCAAGAATAGTTAATATTAACTATGTATCAAGTGATGTCAATCAAAATGTTTACCCTGATATGACTCAAGGGAGTTCAATGCTGTCAATCATTTGCGTTTGACAGTTCTTTGTCTTTGGTCTAGCCAATCAGTGTTAGCGAAAATAAGTTAATGATGCATATCCTATAATGTATTCGTGAAATTATACCGATCTTTGAAAATCATTCAACTGTAAGTTCATGTCGCATAGAACAATAGAATTCTGCCCGATGATTTTTCATTGTGTTTCTATTGTTGATGATGCTGATTTTGTTGTATTAAACTTCTAGACAATAGTGTGACGAATTTTCTCAAAGCAAGTCTTAGGCTTATTTAAATCCAATGTATCTATATAATTATTCTTRCCTTCGCAAATAGTTCGTCTTGCCGTCATTGTCTTAAACCCTTTGGAACATGAACATTGATAACTTCCTGGGCTATTGATACAAGTAGCATTGCAGACGTCGACACTGAGTTGACGAGATGCACAAGTACATGGGCTCCTTGTACATTCATCCTGATCTGTTTAAATATAGAGAGCATGGCGTGAATAAACGTTATTTTGGTAAAATACTTCTTGCTTTTTCAGGGCATTAGTTTGATGATTTATGACTTAAAGTTTGTGCTGTTTTGGTCATTTTACCAAAACATTATATATGTATCTGCAATAAAATACTTGGACTCAACAAGGAGACGGAGATTATAATTTAAAACCAAGTTCAATTAAATCAAATCAAATCAATAACTTTATTAATGTGTTTAAACTTCTAGCGTTCCACAGGTGGCAACACTAATCGGGGACACCTTAGTACTACCTGATCAACTGATCCATCGTAACTAAATTTGAAATTTATTCATGCAATAATTTACAACGACCATGCATTATTGGATTTATACTTATCAGTTTATATTACACAGTTATTGTTGACCAACCTCGACAGGTTTTTGTAGATGATTTAATGTATCCATTATTGCAATTACAAATGAATGAGCCAACAGTGTTAATGCATTCTTGCTGGCATCCATGGATGGAGGATTTACACTCGTTCACATCTAATGAGAAAACAGTAACATTGAGTATGAAAACAAAAAAAAAAGTACAAAATGTCTAGTATTCCCTGTTTTCTAAACTTAAAATTTAGTATCCTTAATATAATTGATTGATAAATGATATAATTGTCAAGAGATTACAGGAGACTTTACCTATATTACATCTGCTTCCTGTCCATCCGCTGTTACAGGTACATGTGTTTGGGGATGTGCAATTCCCATGAACACAACCACTTCTGCAAATAGCTGTTTATAAAGCATATAAAGCATATAAAGATGGAGCATATAAAAATGGATTTCTAATTTTTTTTTTTTTGAAGTACATTTAATAATCAAAATATGGGCGTACGTAGATAGACAAATGAAATATAGAGCATACATTACTTACGTATTGAGCAGTCTTTATACAATCCAGATCGCCATCCTGAGCAACAGTAGTATCTGCTTCTACTTGCACGAGAGGTTTCGAGAACATAGTAGACTCTCCTGGTACCTCTGAAGTTATAAACATTAGCTTTAAAGTAAACGCCATTCGATTTGATTTCTACTCATTAATTGGCTATTTTTTTTCAAGATTCAAGCAAAGTGATGCCATTATATGAGTAAATAAGTAGGTCATTAGGTCAGTAGGTAATTTTAAGTTCTTAATATTAATTAAGTCGGCCGGCTTAGACCCCAAAACTTAAACATGATGAAACATGTTTAGATGTCATATGATATATACCACAATAAGGATAATCGACAACTAGTACTATTCGATTCCTTCCAACCATGTCTAACCTAATCTTAATATACAATACTTACACAGAACGTGCACATCGCTTCATCCAAAGGAAACCGCATGAAGTATAGTATGTCCTGTAACCCCATCCGGTAGTCCTTCTTGAATAGTACGTTGTTACATAATAATTTGTTGAGCACAGGTGACTAAGCGATTATAAAAAAGATACCATCAAAAGATGTAACTAGAAAATTATTATTTCACGCAATTTGTACCACCATTTCTTAAATAAACAAGAGATTCATGACAGTTACAAATTCCAGCTGATCCGCTGAGAAAAAATAGCCGAATTTGCAAACCTGAGGTGTCACTTTACCTCGCGACCCGGCCTCGCGATCGGAAATTATGAGTTTCAAGCCATCCACTTCAAATTGGCAGTGACTGTTGAAACAATATGGTTTTACCTAGAGACTCCCGCTTTCTTCTGAGGCCACCAATAAAAAGAAAATAACGTTCCTAGTTGTACGCGCTTGATAACAGTGACACAATAATTCATGTGTCTCATATCAGTTTTTATTGCAATGGCAGGCATGTTTTTATTTTCGCAGGTCATATTTTCACAGGTTCACAACACCMCACTTTTGCAGTGACGTCATTTCTAAGTCACTATTTAAGATCACCTGGAAGTTTTTTACACAACGGTACGCAATGTGAATGGATCCTCGGGGGAGAGGTACTAGGGGTGTTTCAGTGATAGGGATATGCCGCTGAGATCCGAAAACCCTGGTCTAAGACTTAGTCTCCCTCGCATCCGTTTTTAGTGTCGGTCGTCACGCAACGAGCGTTGCGTGACGACCGACACTAAAAACGGATGCGAGGGAGACTATCTAAGACTAAGACAAGAATATATGGCAGCAAAAACATAAGTTTCGGAAAAAAGGGTCTAAAATGAACACCTCATATAAGAATTGGAAACGCTACTGATAGAGTTAACTATTGGTTAAACCGTTAACGCGTATCCAAGAATGATGACCCTGTACAAGACAATATCATGGGAAATCATATGCCCTTTCTAAGACCAAAATCCCCCACAAAAACATCCCCGAATATACTGTATAAGGGAGTACCCTTTGCGGGGGTAAAATTAGAGGTTTATCCTGAGCCGAACCTGTCCGTTTTGCATGCAACATTGAGTGAAAATTAAAAATTAACGACAGCTGCGACAGTGGCAACCGCGTAGACACTGCTATAATCACAGTGGCTATGCATTGGCTAACATACTGATAAATATAGCTGTGGATGACATAGAGCATCATATTGATACACTTATTTCAATAAAGTTTGTCAACTGAAAAGCTATAAAGCTGAGGTCGACAAGGATTATGGTTAGATTCATTTTACACGTTCAACCGCTCGATAACTGTTCATGGACTTGCGAATCTTTTACCATTTACAGTCTCATCTCTTCTGAGCATCATCGAGCTGTAGTTTGTATTAAAAAAGCTTCGTATATATATGCTTTTTTGATATGAAAAGTTTCCCATGATGCTCAGTGACCTCAGCTATCTAGGTTTTTGGTGACTAACTTTATTGAAATAAGTGTATACTCTCTTTATTTGGGCAGGTATTTCAACGTGTTTCTTTTTGTAGTTAGTTAGTTTGTCCTAGTTGGTTAAATTGATTTATAGTTTAAGTCTTAAGCTCTGCATGTAATTTAACTGAAATCCTAACGGGAATTAATAAAAGAGAGAGAGAGAGAGAGAGAGAGAGAGAGAGAGAGAGAGAGAGAGAGA